CTATACTAGCAATCTGAGAGGAGGAAGGAGAAGAACTGATAGACTACCAGAGGAGGAGAGGAGAACATATCCAATTAAATGAAGACATGAGCATATTTTTTCACTGTATGGGTTGAGNCTACCCTTTTTCACAGTGACCTGCTTTTAGTCCCGATCATGTGAGAGGGAAGGGGAGGGTCAGCGGAGGGGAGAGGGTTTCGCCCAGGAGTGTGGGAGAAGTCGTGTCCCCCTTTTGGGTCGGATCGAGGCACCCAGTATCTCATGCTTGGAACCCTCTCTTCTCCTCTTTCACTCTCTTTCCTTTTTGTGTGATATGGACTCTAAGCAGAAGAAAGGATCAGACTTTTCTTTTTCTTTTTTCGTCTCGATCCTTTAACTACTTAAAAGCAGGCAAACACTATACAGTTGAGCTAAGCCAGGTTACGGTGGGTAGATTGGTGAGGTTTGTGATGCAGGTAGCTTGATGAACCTGGGCACTAGCTTCCTAATTCTCATTCTGATCTATTTCTCGATCCCGTGGCTTTGACTTAGGATCAATTGTTTAGTGTTTGCCTCACCTTTCAAAATAAGTCAATAACTTTCATTGTAGGTTTATGATCAACATCACATCAAAACTGTGTCGGTAATCTGTTGATTTAATGAAAATAACGCTTTAAAGTTGACACAAAATTAGCGAAGTTTTAATTCTGCATTGTGTTTTGTGGCTTGAGTGTGAGTGTGTATTGTTACTACCACAATCTGTTTCATATTTTGAAAATGGTACACCATGTTCTTAATAATTAAACATGTTTCTTATATAAGTGACACAATTCATACATGCTCCTCATATAGGTGACCCAAATTTACACATGTTCCTCATACACATTTTGTTAGATTTTAACTGTCCTAAACATGACCCTAAACTGTTTCTAAGTTTAGCTAATGTTCATATACTAATTATTGCATATGTAAATGTATAATATTATATTACATTTTGGTATGCTTGGCGTGTCATGCTGCATAGTCACGTAGCGTTAAATTGTAACATTTTGCTGTCTCTACTTTTGCTTTCTTTTAACCGTATTTATCATCATTGGATCATTCCATCTGCTTTTCAAAGCATGCAAGAAAGAAGATCTATTTTGTAATCATCGGGGTAGCTACTATTTATCACTATATTGATCATAGGGTGAGAGGTTATCAATCAAGAACAGATTTACTGTCTATGAACAGCTCTTCAGAAAGACATCAGGCTCTAATCAAGGAAGTGGTTGCTGTGGACACAGGACTTACCACTAATGTCATATCATGCATCACTACTCTACACTTCTCCTGTCAGTTCACAATCGGATCAGTCCTCTATAACTAGTTGTTTTCCGGTGGGGAGAGGAGAAAGAGAAGAACAAAGCCTATTCACAGTGGGTGAATTGGGAAGGTCTGTGATGAGGGTTGTTGATGGACCTGTGCACCAGCTTCCTAAGTCTCATTCTCTATCTCGATACTGTGACAGCATTGGGCTTAAGCTCATTTGTTTATAGTGTTCGCCTTTGAAAATAAGTCAATAGCTCTCATTGTAGGCTTATAATTAACGTAACATCAAATTTACGTGCACGTGATCAGACATTTTGATGCAAATGACACTTTAAAGTTGACACGATATTATAGCGAAATTTCAATTCTGCGTTGCATTTTGTAGTGAGTGTTTATTATTTTATAGCCAACACAAGTTATTTCATAATTATCATTATTGTGTATTATTAGTACAATAAATATGAACATTGTGGTAGATTGTTAAGATTATTCTTATTATGTTAAGGTTTTAGAGGTTATAATAATAGACAAGGGTCATATACAGTAAAATGATAGGAAGCAATAGTAATAGATTATTAGTTAATGGTATGGTATTTAGTATTAAGTTAAGTTGTCTTATGTTATGTGGTCATACAGCATAAGTTGTAGGTAGGTAATGTTATGGTATTGAGAGAGGAATGTACTTTGTATAGCAATGAAGTTAGTATGGTATAGGTACATGATATGGTTTTTATTGTGTCATATTAAGGTTCATAAGTGATAAGTCTGTGTAGGCAATGAAGGATAAGAACATACCCACTTATATAGCAAGGTTAATATATGATGTAGGTAACATTAATGGTTGTAGATAGGTAATAGTATAGAATTAAGATATTATTCTGGTATAGCAGAATTAATGCAATGTATCGTGTTGGTATCATTGTGTCATATTAAGGATTGATCATAATGTTATAAGTTGTATGTATAGGAATGGTACGCTATTAAGATAAAAAAATGTACTTATACATTTGTATATAGGAAGGTTAATAATTATGGTATACATGTAGGTCTATAATTTGGTTTTCATCAAATGGTTTTGGTATATGTAAAAGGTCATAGGTTATATAAGTAACTGCAGTGTGGAAATATCT